TTTTTTTTTTTTTTTTTTGGCAATCTAAGGAAAAAGAGGTCAGTGCCCCTGACAAAAATTGTGAGGTACTGCTTGAAGTTTTAAAAATGCTTGCAGCACAAGGGTTGAAAATTGCTGATATAGAGCAATCACATACATATTGTTTATTTCAACTTAAATAAAGAGATTGCATTCCCTGAGATCATCTCCCTAAATTCTGATTGGCTAATAAGGTAAAATAATTATTGTGGCATAAGCACATAGGCATAAATACAAGGCCACAGACAACTCATGCTTCTGTGGCAAATAAAGCTAACTGCTCCCGTCAAAGAAAAAATCTGGGAAAGAATATACTTAGGAGCTGGTGTCACCCAATTTAGATAACTAATACAGAACCAATATAGATAATTAATATACAGACAATGTGGGATGCCATTTATTATGTAAATGAAGCTTTAAAAAAACCAGTGAAATACTCCTTATCACAATAATACTAGGAGCTGTCACATTATTAAAAGGATTATGTTTTTATCATATTTTACCAGGCTAGTTGTCTCTTGGGAAAATTTGCTTTGATGACATAAGACAAGCTTGCTTCTCAGATAATTGTGAGAAAATCAGGAGCAGCTCTCATTAATCTGGAATTGGAATATCCATTATCTCTCCCACTCATGAAATCAGAACAGCTAAGTCCTGTCCCTTTCAGGCTGCAAATCCTGGGTAGAAAAGTCTCCCTGATCAAATGGTCAAGAGCCAAAGCAATGAAGTTTGCAAATTAGGGTGGAAAGAATTTCCTGAGGAAAATATGAAGACAATACATTGCAGAACTGACCAAGTAGGCAACAATAAAAGGAGAGTAGTAATTAGGAAAGAGAAATGCTGAAATAAAGAATGGCTTCTAAAGCAATGATTTTCAACCTTTTTCATCTCATGGCACACATAAACTACTTACTAAAATTCTGAGGCACACCAAAAAATATATTTTTTGCCAATCTAACAAAAAAGATAAGTATAATTTTGATTCATTCACACCAGACAGCTATTGTGATGTTGACTGTTGTCATTTTTTTCATTTGACAGTCTAAGGAAGAAGAGGTCAGTGTCCCTGATTAGTTAGGTACTGCATGTTTTAAAAATTCTTGCAGCCCAACCGGGCGTTGCTCAGCGGTTGAGCATCGACCTGGGATCCAGGCGATCGGGGTTCGATTCCCAGTCAGGGCACATGCCCAGGTTGTGGGCTTGATCAGTGACTCTCTCATCATTGATGTTTCTGTCTCTCTCTCTCCCTCTCCTTCCCTCTCTCTGAAATCAATAAAGATATATTAAAAAAAAAAAAAAGATTAAAAATTCTTGCAGCACACTGGTTGAAAGTGACTGTTCTAAGGTCTTCACCACTTGTGTAATTCAGGGTAACAGGCAAACTATATAAAGCCCCAATATCTGCTCTTCCTACATTATACTCTATAAAATCTTCCTGACCCTTTTTTTAATTACAGTTTACATTCAACATCATTTTGTATTAGTTTAAAGTGTACAGCATAGTGGTTAGATAATCATATATTCTACAAAGTGTTCCCCCTGATATTTCCAGTACCCACCTGGGACCATACATAGTTATTACAATGTTATTGACTATATACTACCTGACCTTTAATTGAAATAGCTGTGGATACCTCTACATAGTTCACTGTGTTACTGATGTTAAAGAAGGGTTAGGCAAAATACACCTAGGAGAAAATTATAACTCTTTTAAATTATCTTGCCAGGGAATTGAGTGTAGAAATGACTAGAGACACCTGTACCTCCTATCAGTTATCAGTATGTCATCAGTGAGTATTGCTAAACATGGATGCAACCGCTCAAAGTTCTCAAGCATGAAATTCTCTAGTTTTCCTTCATATATCAATGAGGCACAATTCTATAAAACAGTAAAAGAAGGCCTTGCAACATTCTTTTTACTCCTCTCTATGCAGAGTTCACAACAGTTATAAGTTTTTATTCTATGTGTGACTCACTAAATTTTTTAAATTTTATTTCAAGAATTACTGTGTGTGTGTGTGTTTTGTTTTGTTAATTAAGCACTTATCTGTTATGGTATTGAGCTAACAACTTAGAATAACAAAGTAGAAATCCTTGTTACTGCCCTCAAGAAATTCACATTTTAGTGCAGCAGCCAGAAGAGTTAACAGATAATTGCAATGTAGTATCAAAGTGCTAAGCAAAAGTCACTAAGGAGTCAAATAAAGACAAAAAAGAGTCAAGTCAGAGAACAACCTCACTTTACCCAAGTCTCAAAGAATAAGTAGGAATTAAACAGGTGAGGAAGGAGGAAAGAGCATACCAGGCAAAGGTATCAGGAAGTACAAAGGCACGGAGGTGATTAAGCATGACCTGACAAGAAATGCAAAGTTAGAACTGCTAATATGCTAGATTAGGTCTTGGTGGAGGTGTGGGTGCCTGGGAAGATCTGGTAAAGCAGGAGACCAGATGAGGGATCAGATCATGAATAATCTTACACACCATATTAAGGAGTTCAGATTTTTAATCTAAGTGTTAAAAGGAATTTTTTAAAAACAAATAATATAATTATATTGATCACGTGAGCCATAGAGTAGAAATTGGATTGGAAGCTGAAATAGAGAGAAACCAGTAATATTTTCTGGGTTTATTTCAGAAAACAAATAATGATGCCTGAACTAAGACAAGAATAATTAAATGAAGAAAGGGGATTGATTTGAGAGATAATGAGAAGACACAATCAATAGGTCTTTAAGATCAATGGGAGCAGTAAATCAGAAAAGAAGGAGTCTAGAATAATTCTAAAGCTTAAATTTAGTAACTGACTGATAGGGAATTTTTTCAAAGGGGCCAGTATGGTGGGGAAAGGATAAGTTCAGACACTTGGAATTTCAGATGCCACAAACCACCCAGATGAGATGCCCAAAAAAGTAACTGGTAATTCAGAGAACTTAAAATCTCGAGAAAGCTCATCTTAGAAATATAAATCACCTGTCTCTGAAGACTTTCTTCTGGGAGTCATCAGAATCAGAATGTGGATAGTAGTTGAAGCTATGGGTTTGAATGAGGAAGTACATGAGTCAAGCAACAAGCAAAGGATGTAAAGTACAGTATATAAACATTTAAAAGGTCTTTAGGAAAATTTAAACTTTTAAAGAAGACTCTCAAGAATATAGCTTTTCTTTACAGAATGTGGAATAAAGGGAATCTCATTAAGAGATTCAAAGAGATTCAAAGAGAACATGGGTTTGATCAGGTAAAGAGGCATCTATCTGAAAAAATACATGGAACTCTCTTTAGATGATGTTGCAAAACAGAAATATAAAAGCTACATTTCAGTAAATAAATGTGTCTCTGGCTAATGGTAGGAAAGGTGTGTGAGGTAGACAGGATTACAATGAAGAGAAAGTAAGCGGTAAGAAGTGCACAGTATTTGGAGACTCGTATAGTCAACAGAGGGAAGAAATCAATATCTTAGACCTAATCTGTACAGTTGAGAGTATGATGTAGACACCCACTGTAGACTCAAAAGTCCTAGCCACATGCCTTCTGGCCCTGTGACATGGGACAAATGATTTTACCAGTTACCGCCTGAAAATAAGGATAGTATTCTCCTGCCTACTTCATCTTTTGTTATACTTAGGAAGTGATACTATTATGTTTAACTCACAGGCACACAGGAGCGGGGAGGGATAAAAGTGAGGTGCCTGGCACAGAGGCCTGCTTTTCCTCACATCTTACCTGTTGCCTGCTGCTTCGGGAAAGGTACCTGGTAGGATCCAGGCCCCACATGATCCTCAGTGCTGCCACCTTCGGCATATCTGAGCACGCGGGGAGCCCGGTCATACATAATGGAGGGAGCGATTAGAAGGGGCGCCTGAAAGGGAAGAAAAACAAGGGAGCTATAGGAGGTGTGGAGCAAAAGAAAGTCGAAAACACTCCGAGGCGCTGGCTGAACTCCCATAAACGGAGGAGCTAGCATAGGGGCTATCTCCCCACCTGCTCATGGGTGTCAGGCTGACCCCTGGGAGACTTCTAGTCCTGTGGTGAAGTGGAAGGGAGCGGGGCCGGAGATAAGACACCCCACACAGCCATTTGTTCACCAGCTGAGATCGGCGAGGCTCCTCCCGGATAGGAGACACAAGGACTACCTTCCCCCCCTTAGCTTCCGGCCCTGACTCCACCCCGGAAGTTCCGAGAGAGAGGCGGAAGTGCTCTCACGCCTCAGAGCCCTCGGAGCATGCGCATTCAGCGCGGAGCTGTCCCTGCTAGCCCCGCCCTGCGCTCTTAAACCACGCCCACTCCGTAGGTCCTGGGCTCCTCAGAAAAGCTCTGGAAAACGAGCTAAAGGGGATAGGGCTAACTTGGCTGCATTTCCCCAGGAAATGAATTAGGGCAACTTGGAAGAGACTAGAAAAACAATGAAAAGCAAAGCACTGGCGGGAAGCAGAGCCTGGGTGCCGCAAGCTCACCCCCAACTCCTACTCACAGAGGAGAAACTCCTCTGGCTTTATCCCATAGGCAAGAGGGATTGTGCTAAGGGAAACCCAGGATGTGCTGGTAACAAGAAACAGAAAGCGGGGGGAGGAGGAGACGCTCACCAACCGAAGCAGTGCAAGCGCAGGTTACTGAACGCTGTGCTGCTGTCATGAGACGGCAGGCAACAGAAACATTGATTCATCGCTTTTTCTAAAACAAAGCGAAGGCATTGAGAAAGCACAGTCCGCTCCACTGAACCAACAGGTCTCTCAACCTTTGGCAAAAGGAACCTTAAAGGTCTTAAGGAGTCTATGTCAGAATCCACCTCAACGTTGTCTCAGGCGGGTTTTTCAGCTAGAACCATCAGATTCTTTTTTTTTTCTTCTTTTTTTATCCTCACCTGAGGATATGTTTTTACTGATTTTCAGAGAGAGAGAGAAATATCGATGTGAGAAAAAGAAACATGGATTGATTGCCTCCATTATGCTCCCCAAAAGTGAAAGAACCACAACCTAGGTATGAACCCTGACCCTGATGGAACCCACAAACTTTGGTGCGTGGGAGGGTGTCCCAACCAGCTGAGCCACCGGGCCAGGGTGAAAAGCATTCAGATTCTAATCATCCTTTGAAGGAGTTAAACAAATCCTGCCTTGACCAAATGAGCAACAGCACTTTAATTTGTTTCTACTCCAAATGTTTAGAGTATTTGTACTCTAGAACACGATTTGATACTCAGTTCTGTGGTTCACTTATTGTGGCTCAGTTGTTTCATATATGTTAAAATGCTCTCCATACAAGGCTGTATGCTTCTCAAGAATATATCGAATATATCTGTAATATCTTCTTCCCCTTACTCAAAGCTAGCCGAATAATTATTCACTTAAAAAGAAAAACACTTATTGGCATATGCTATAGGTTCAGTACCCTGCTAGGTTATGGGAATACAAAGGTACAAGAAATTCCTCTATCCTCAGAAGTTCTGTATCTAATGGAGAAAGAGACATGTATAACCCATGAGATAACAAGAGAAATGTATAAAATTATGAGAAAAGAAATACTGCAGTACTTGGAAACCTCTTTCTAATAGGAAACTAGATATTGATCAATGATCCTTTCTCACTGGCTTGGATCCTTGCATTCTTGCAGAAACCCTCATAGTTCTCATAAGATTATTTAAGGTTTATTTTCCCTAGCTGCTTTAGATACCCATTGAGATCTAGAATACATTTATTGTTAGATTTTATGTCATAGTACAAAGAGGAGAGTTAGAGAGATAAAAGGAGAAAAATCTATGTGCTTTAGAGGATGATCCATGGTGCCTGTAAATTAGTCTCCTATTGAATGTCATTGGACCTTAACTCAAACAAGAATATAAAACAAAAGGCTCAAATTCATTATGAGGGAAATGCCCCCACCTGTATTCTTCTCCCACACTCATTGATTTTTTTTTTCTCAGTTCCTATTTGAACTTGGCATTTTTATTTATTCATCTAAAAAAAACCTCTAGAGGTAGTCTTTCAGGGGTAGCATGGTGACTCCTTGATGGTAGGGAACCAGCACGCTCAATCATGCTGCTCCAAAGTTGATCCATTTGGCATATTTCTTCCATTTGATCTCCAGGCTAATTTGGGTCTCAATAATTATGAACCTTTCCTTCAATTGATCTACATAGATTTATTGGAGTGATCACTTTGTAAGTTTTCTAAATAGCTAATCACTATGTTGTACACCTAAAACTAATATAATATTGTATGTCATCCGTAATTGAAAAATAAAAAATTATTATAGAGCTGTTTACTAGAGTCCCTAACACACTCAAAAATAAAGAAATGGGCAAATGATAAGCAAATTCAAACAGTATCGAAGGAGGGTAATAGACTATGGGAAACTTCAGGATAAAAATACCAAACAAGACTAAGAGAGATATCAGGTAGAGATAAAGCCTAGGTATATTTATGCTGTGCACCTTAAACTTAGTGCTGTATGTCAATTAGATCTTAATAAAACATGTTTATGTAGGTGATACAACAGTAATAAAAACTTATGCATCACACATAACAGCTGTTACATAAAGCAAAAGCGAACAGAAATGCAAAGAGAACTTGATCAAAATACAATTATAGTGGATACTTCAATGTACCTCTTTCAGAATTAAATCATATAAACAGAAACTAAGTTTTAAATAATAATATCATTAGACTTGGTACCAAAAAACTCTTCCATTTGACCACACCAAAAAAAAAAAAACCCATAAAAATTTTTAAATATAAAATTGTCACAAAATACCAAGTACTTGATGTAGACCCTCCCTCATTAGGTAGTAAAATTCATGTTAAGTTGCTATTTTAGAGGTTGATTTTAAAGGTCTGGAACGGATTAATCTATTTTGTATTACTTTCTATGGAAAACCGTGCCTCAGTTTTTGAACGTTTTCAACTCGAATGGTCTTCCAGAATGGATTGTGTTCAAAAACTGAAGTACCACTGAATAGGCAAGGGAGAGCTTTTTTATTCTACGGACAGAAACTTTAACAGCAAAGATAGTGATTACATGACAATATCAAAATTTAAAATTTTTATGTAACAAGATATCATAAATAAAAATCAACATCTTTGAGACAATTGTTTACTATAAAGAACACAGGAGGCTTAATATGTATACCATATCATAAAGTATTAAAAATGCTTAGGAAGAGAAAGAAAACCCAGTAGAAAAACTGAAAAGGATATTAAGAGGAAATTCACAGAGGAACCATTTCAAATAGCCAAAATACACTTCAAGTAGTAAGAAAATGCATGTCAAGGTCACAATGAAATATCACTTTTTTACACATCAGAATGGCAAAGATTTAAAAGAGCAATGAAACCTACTCTCTGGGAGCATACCAAAAAAATGTAATTTGGTAATACATGGTGAAAATGTGAATTATTACTTTTTTGGAAAACAATCTTGCTACTCTCCCATAGATATCCCATAAAAATAAGTATTTTAGCATAAAATGGGATACATACATACATACTTATATTTACATATTTAAACACAAATTTATTTCTGCATTGTGCAAAATGTCAGGGGGAAAAAGGAAAAGTAACAAATGAAATACCTCTTAATAAAGGGATGACTGAGTAAATGACCTCACCATGGAATACTATGAAGATGTTTTATAAACTCAAAGTCATTCCAGTTACTAAGCATGATTTCCATGAGGTATTTTTGAGAAGAGCAAGATTTAGAAAAACATATTACACCGATTTCTAAAACCAAGAAATTACCAAAAAGCCCTATTTATGTTAAATGTACATGTGCATATATACTTACATATATGCTTACGTAAACACAGTGAAAGGATGGAAGGATGACTGCTGTGTCATTAACCCAGCTTACCTGAAATGGGGAGAGAATGTGGGTGGAAGAGGGGAAGAGTGAGGAAGGAATAAATAATGATCACATGTATTCATTGCTTATAAAATGGGGAAAATTTGTCTAATAAAATTCAATGTGTGAAACCTTGAATGAAAAAGACAAAACAGGGAAAGAAAGCAACATAGCTGTGAACTACTTGTATTGTTTTAATGCCACAAATGAAGTAAAGCAAGAATACGTTGAGAGGTAAATCAGGAAGAGTTTACAGGAAAGGTTGCAACACACATGCACACACCACTTGGGCTCCTCTGAGAAATAACTCACCCCATCAGATTCAAATGACACTGTGATACGAAAAATCCAGGGCCAAATGAGGTAAACAGATTTTGGAAGCAGAGCCACATGTGGCCTGGTGAGGTTCATCATGGGAGACAATGTGGAGAGGCATTTGGGAGAGCTTTGATCACAAAATGTAAGGTCATGAAGGGTATAATGTAATTTATCTGTAAAAGTGGGTTAAATGAAGTTTACACACCAAGGAATGTCTCAGGAACGGACAGATAGTGTCTCTCTTAGTAACTTTGACCAAAATTAGCATACATAATAAATCACCTGCCTGAAAGCAGTGGTAACTGCTAGTTCTTCTGATGATCTCAAACCCAATTTCCACAGGCCGACACGAATGAGGCAGCCTGATATTTAGGTTGCTCTCCCTGTCCTTATCGTGGGTTACTCTGGGTTTGGTCCTCCTAGAGTGGATAGTTCTAGTTAACAGTATACTGAT